ATACCCAAATATGCACATACACCAAAAAACACACATACCCAAAAATGCACATACACCCAAAAACACACAGGCACGCACACAGCACTCTAACCTTCAGGCAAAGAACCACTCGAACAACTAACTCGTATGTCCCTGAAAAACATTACAGCAACATTGCATTAATTCACATTAATGTCGCAGGTAATTTCACGGTCATCAGCTGGCACACATCTGCGTGTCCTGCGTGCTGATTATGGGAAACTCCCTCATTTAAAGGATTTTTTTTTGGCTTAACGCGAGCTGCACTTGCACATGTGTTCTGGGCTGCTGGACGACACCCGCCAGCAGCACAGGAGACTCGAGCCGACGAGATTCTGCAGGCAGGATGAGACAGGCTCCCGGAGACAGAAACCCGCGTAAAGAATGACTTCTGTTTAAATCCACACCTTCTCATGGAGGTACCTTACCAAAGGCACGGAACAGGAGCGAGAGGGTCTAGATCAATTAAGAGCCGTCGTCTGCATATATAGCAACCTGATCATTGGTTACCCGAGTCCTGAAAAAGAAGGAGAAAACATGGCGGGGGGGCAGATGGATGGAGAGAGGAGGGAGGAGGGAGGAGAATGGGCGGCGGGGCTGTCCAGGCTGACTCGTTATGTCCTGAGCTTATTGGAAAACAGTCTGAGTGCAGCCCAGTACTGAAATTAGTTATTGATCCGGCTGCCGTGCTGTGGGCTCGCAGAATCCCTACTCCTCACTGCTGCCTCCTTTTATTTTTTCCCTGGCTTCTCCTCGCCTCCTCCTTCCAGGCTTCACGGCTTCCCTTTTTCCAGCAGCTTCTCTGACTTTCTACCGTCATCCCAGCCTGCCCACCCCGCTCATACTTCCATCTGCCCCCGCTCATCCCGCCATCTCACCGGCCCTCCACAAGGGGTCGCTGTTGGTCGGAGAGGTCACGCAAAAGGAGCTCTGCTTTCATATGCTGACACTTGGTGAGGGCAACACGGGCCTCTCCTCCATCTATGGCGCAGAGGGACAGACGTGCAGACTCGGACCGTGATGTAACTAGGCCACAGGAACACCTGGCTTCAGGTCTCACCTGTACAGTGATGGCGTCCTCACCACTTGGCGTTTTGAAGGATTTCCACATATTCCTGCACGTTCTTCTCCAAGTACATTTGTCCTTGTTTAAAAATTAAAAACAAAAAAATTCAGCATAGATTTTCAGCCCAGGAACCTTGATAGTACTCATGTAATTAACCAATTTTACTGCTGAAATACAACTGGGGTGTTTATAAAAGCAATAAATAATTCACCTGGAAAGATATGTGTACATTTCAATGTTAAGTCAGCTCACTGAGCTCCGCTTTCTTTCTGTGCGATCGAAGCTAAATTTAGCAGCCCGCTAGCGCCTGTGTTCCCACAAGAGGGAAATCGGTCCTGTTTACGAAGGTGAAACTGACGTTCTTTCCAAATAATATATCTTTTAACAACCACCAGGTGTCACTGCGCAACATAACAGACACCCATCCATTGATCCATACGTTTTCAATAACTGCTTATCTAACTAGTACTGGAGTACGCTGAGCCATGGCGTGGTACCCCTTGGGCAGGACCCCAGTGCCTTACAACGCATTCGGGTAGGTACTCTCACATGCTAACGGCCATTCTACGTTTTTTTTTTTTGCTGCAAAAGAACACAGCAGTTCCAATCAAGTTGGATTTATTTGTTTGGCCATTATCATCAGGACCCATGGTAAAGGAAGAAGTAACAAAAGGGCGACGAAAGCGATGGACACAGGGCTAACCTAGTTAAAATGATTAGTCGCTGTAGCACAAACCAATCTCACAGCATAGCTTCCAAATGCAGCCTCATAAACAACCAAATGCTGCATTAAACAACTTTAATTGAAGAAGCAACACAAGCAGCCGGGAGATTTAGAGCTATCGGCTAAATTAAACATAGCTTAACTAGCCAGCGCCTTGGGCTCACCTCAGTCCGAAAGTTGATTTTTCTATTTTGCAAATTATACACCTAGCTATAGAGGGAGCAGCATATTTAATTCTATAGACTGCAGAAACAAATAACATTTCATTTTAGACTAATGGCTCTTGGCCATATTGGACAAATAACCTGCAAAACATAAATAAATTATGCGTCGTTTATGCTTAGGACGTTTATTTACATTTTACAATATGTTCCGAAGAGGACAAATAGTTCCTCTATAAAGCCCTCCTGAGTGACGCAGCCTTGAACCAATTGGGTGGTACTACGTCAGTGCTGGCCGCCTGCTGCCTTTGCGCTTGACGTGCTTCGTGGCAGAAAAGCAAACCGTCGTTATGCGGTTCGGTGTGGTGCCATGATGAAAAACGAAGGACACAAAAGAAGACATCACCATTTAACCTGAACTGCTCGTCTTCGGACTGAGAGGAAATGGGAGAGCAGACGCATGGAAATGATAGTAAACAATAAACGCAGATTTTTTTCGCACCTTAAAAGTTTTTATTTGCACATTTTTACATTAGCAGAGAAGGCTCATTACAGGCAGGTGTGATGCAGATGTATAAACCTGTGAATATTGGAAAACACAATTTTATATCCTTTTCACTGCATAAGAAAAAAATACTAGTAATTGTGCTACTGCTGTTGCATTCATGTTCTCCGAAATGGTAAATTATGTGAATCGGTAACAAAGTTACAAACAATAGAGAACCATCTATACTTATTCAGCAGAAAAAGCTGATCATTATACATATTAAAAAGAAATCTGCATTTTTCTAGATCTGCATCAAGCTCTAGAGTTCAGCCCAAGTTCTCAGGTGTTCTGCGCTCAGCGGAGCTCAGATTAGATCCACTACATCTAGCATTTGCTGTATTGGTTTGCTATATTCAGCCTGGCTGCTCAATCTTGACTTGTGGTGTTATTGCGTCCAATAAGCAAACCAATCTGCCTGAAAAAGCCTCTAGTCAGTAGCAGCCTGTGGCAGGACCTTCGCTGTTTTGTTTTTGCCTGAATAACATCTCCATACACCTTTAGTTTTATGACTCCGATCCATCTAAACCCATCAGGCTTTGGCTCCAGTCCTGCTGCATCTTGTCCCACATCACTGAGTTCATTCACCCTGAAGTGTTATCTCCTGGGCAGCTCAGGACACAGTTCTGTGGGGTGAAAGGTACTTCCATGGC